TTCAGTGCTCGCTATCCAAATAAGAATTTTGTGCACATATGCCTCTCACCCAAGTGCACAGCCAAAATTGAACTCTCACTAGAGACAGATGCAACTCCTGAACAAAAAAAAGTCCGGGTACTGGGGCTCTTTATTAATCAAAACAAGCAGTCAGACACCTCATTGGCCAAACTCCGGAAGGTGGGTGACCAGTTGGACCGCATGGACCGCCGGGTCTCTAATAAACGTGGGGGGCCACGGTGCAGAGATGCCTTGTGGCTGGCACATGCATTTGTAACCAGTAGAATCTTATATTCTACACCATACCACCACTTGCGGAAGCGAGATGAGAATGTAGTGGAAATCATCCTTCGCTAAATTGTAAAGCGAGCCCTCGACCTCCCCATGAACGTCTTTAACCAGCGCCTTCTAGGCCTGGGCATGGTGAATAAGTTTCAGGAACTTCGACAGGCCCACCTCACAAATCAGTACACTCGACTTTTACAGACAGTAGCGGGGCGCCGCCTATAAGCCCGCCTACAACACATTCACATCGCGGAAGATCACGCTCAACTCCCATTCGAGTGGAGATGCGCCCTCCACGTGCGTTCTCTTCGAAACAATATGACAAAAGAAGATCACAATGGCCAGCGCCTGGCGCAGGTGGAAGCCCTGGCCCGCTATTATGGATCAAAACCCGGCGTGTTCTACGTGGACACCTCCGGCCCACACCGTGGGGGCTGGTACACGGCCGCTGTCGTACACGAGAACCAAACAGTTAACGCACTCACGTTTCGAGCCCGACACATATTCCATGCGGAGGAAGTCGCCATTTCATTAGCCGCTTGCCACCCTAGGTCGTAAATCATAATCTCCGACTCTTGAGGGGCCTGTCGAAACATCGTGAACGGCCGTGTCGCATACTTGGTCTACCGCTTATTGCAACGTTCGGACTATCAGGGAATCCCTGCACCCCACCGTGTAGTCTGTGCTCCTGCTCACATGAGACTCGAAGGGAATGAGGCAGCCGACGCCGCCGCCCGTGCGCTCTCTCACCGGGCATTCCCACTCACCTCCCCCGATCAGGACGACCTTGAATTCAATCCGGTGTATTCGTTCCGCGAAGTCGTGGACTATTACCAATTCGATCACAGCCTTTATCCACGCCCATGCAAACGCCTAAATAAAGCGAAGGAGCAGCTTTCACACCGACCTTTCACGAACACTGTGCTGTGCCTGGCAGCCCTCAATCATTTCAATCCCGCCGTTTCCGGCAGCTGACCACACTGTAGGGAGGTGTCTTCGGACATCTACCACATGGTGTGGGCCTGCCTGTGCAACCCTGCTGTACCCACTATACCCAACCCTACCCGGGAGGAGTGGGAGGCAACCCTGCTTGCTTGGCTGTTCTAACCTTCAGGCCCAAGAGGCCTTGGTTCGACGAGCCCACACAGCAGCCGACGCCAATGGGGTCCCGTACTAGGGATCCCCACCTACTCGTTGTGGGTGCCGTCCTCTTATGAGGCGGTCGCTGCCTACCTCCTGTTTTTTTTTGTTAAATAAATGTTTTTATCACCAGCACCGTCTTCCCTACACCTGTAGCGAAAGGAGAGACATGAGTTCGAGGAAAAAAGAAATGACCTTGTGAGGGGACGGGACGTCCCGAAAGAGATTTGACTCCTTTGAAATCGGCAGTTGACGTGCAACCAGCGAAAAGCATGGTCACCGGTGTCGCGTAGGCGGCGAGCATGAAGTGACCCGCGCAACGTATTGAGACGGCTGCAAGACCAGGCACCGCCGTCGTTCACTAAGCTGGCGAGGTCTTCAGCGGCACCCGTCAACTTTCCTACGTGTACCAAGAGCTGCCCTTGTCCGTATGGAAATTTTTATTATGACTTTCTAAACTGTTATTTTATTATAACCAGCTTTTCAATAAGTGTAGTTGTGTGCGCTGCGTCGCACGGAGAAGCTCAGAAGCGCGAGCATGATCTTTGCTCCGTAATTATCTCCTTGTATGCATCTTTTGTTCCCATCACGTGTTATTAACTAATATTCTGCATATTTGTGTTTTGTCTGTACCTGTTGTAGTGTTATTTTAGAACTTAGTTTGCTTTCTTCTTTTTTTCATCGCGTATTAGTGCACACTAAACGAAAATGACCTGAAATAACCTCAAAAACTGGGTAAACCATTTGTCCTCTAGGGCACTACCTTTCCTGGGTTTTTTTTACCACCTACTATCGAGGTAAAAATTTACTCTCGTGCTAACTGAGTTTTTGAACGTAGGGAGAGTAGTAATTAGTTACCCCAGTGAGGTTTTGAACGAGTATAAAGAGAGTAAATCTTTACTGCCTTCACAAGGTTTTTGAGGTGATTTCTGGGAGTTATTTCCCGTGGTAAAAAAATAAAAATTGACAGGTGCATTTGCCCAGAGTCGACAAATTTATTAAATTGCATAATTGATTGAATTTATTAAACAGCAGAATTGGTGACACATAGATTCACATACAAACACGCACACACAGCAAATGCAGAATAATACACCACTCGAACAGACTGCACGCGTTGCTCAACTACACTTTGACAATCCGGCATATATAGGCACGACTTTTTGACCGGCTCTGTAGAACCGGTAGGAGAGCTCTTTTTTTTTTTTTGCATTGATTACCAACAACGGTTGAAGGTGCAAGCGTAAACTTAAGGTGGGCTGCAGGGCACTAAATGTCACACCAACCTTTTATTATAAATCTACCCAATCTCATCTTTTTGAGTATCCAATAATTACTTGGCACACCGGGCTCATGGCTCCACTTCGTGTTAGCACTGCTGATGCACAAGTCCATAAAATATACCTAAGTGCGCACAAACCATGGCAGCTCAATCATTCTCATTGAGCGACGGTGCACAAACACTGTAGCAGCACGTATTCATCACAACGGGCGTAGAGGAGCGGTGCACGCCTGCACACAAGCTTCTTACCGACGGCGTACTAAACCTTTTCGAGGAGCACGGCTATCCGATGAAACACAGCTGGCGATCACAGAACACATATCCTGTGCGAATTTTGTCGTCATTTCAGACACAAATGAACACGTGACCGCTATCTTACGGGGACGGGGCGGTGTATGCATACTGCCAACGAAAGACCACCGTCCAGGTTTTCTTCATGCTCACCGGCAGCCGCTTGTTGGTTCCGTCTGCCTCGTATAGGCTTCGCGCTACATATTTGAGAACAGTTGGTGCATGAGGTGGGCGATTCGGGCATAACTTTACACATGCAGACATCGCCTACTGTGGAACAAAATATATGCGATGCTTCTTTCACCTGTCCCGGCGACACACTCTCACTGGCCACTGGCGGCCGCGGCTCGGTGCCAACGACAGAGTGAAGCATTTTGCTTATTTCTTCTGCAGTAGGCAAGCACGGACGATGACACCAGATTGATTTTGTTACCACTGGCAGATATTCGCGATTCGGCTCGGAAGCGAGATATCCGCGACGTGCAGGTTCGGAGGCGCTCGGAAGCGCACGGTCGTTTGACGATGTAGGAAACACGTGAAATCCATCAGCCCAACCAGACACACAGATACCGAGCTTCTTCCACCGTCTGTCTCCAAGGCTACCGCCGAGCAAAAGCCAACAATTTGCGAAAATATGCAAGGCAACTTTCCACAGCAGGTTTTCTTTCTATTTTTTTTTCTTCTTTTGAGATCCCTTTCATTTTTTTTTCTTTTTCGTTCACAAAAGGCTGTTCTCGCTTGTTGTGCTTATGCTGCCCCCAGTTCCAGTGAAAGTGCGTTGACTCGAGGTCAGTGCTGAGGCACGATGACGCCAAAATAAAAAAAAAAGATCTGTGGTCCTCGCGTACCTTCATGATTCACTGAGAGCGTCACAATGGGGGGTATGGGGCAAAAGCCACTGAAGCAGCTGCACCTTGCAGTCACGTGGTAATAAACTCTGAAACGCAGGTTAAAAATCACGTGATAGAAAACTCCCTACGTGGTAAAACTGGATTTTGACATCATTTTACTACTTGTCTGAGAGGTGGTGGTAAAACTATGTCATGTACCATCTTTTACTCCTACACGAGGTAGTAACTTTAAACGCAAGAGAGTTTTCAGAGGTCATGAGCCGCAAAAACCCCAAACTCGGGTAGTTTTTGCTTACAGTGTGTTTTTTCTCAGTTAATGTTTTGTAATCTTCTTGTTATTGCCCTTGTTTTATAAAATGCTTGTTTGTGTTTAATCAGATGTCTGTGTCTGCTCTATCGGGCACATACATCACCACACGTGCAACCCCGTGCGGGTCGACCAACCTGCAAATTAACTTGAGATGTGCCTCTTGGAGGCCTTTCAGGCGTCGCAGGCCGAAGTGTAAATTGGAAGCTTGCGACTATGCCGCCCGTCGATGTTGTATCGGCGGGGCTTCACCCGGAGTGGGTGACTGATGTCAGTGCACGTTAAAGAACAATAGATAGTCGAAATCTCCGGAGACCTCCACTACGCCATCTCTCATAAATATATTATGGTTTCGGGGCGTGAAAGCCCAGATATTATCATTAATGACGTTTGCGAGCATGCCGAAGAGAAACAGTTGGATCAACAATCTCGATTGTCCGAGGGCTGACGAGTTGTTACGTCACATCGACAGGACGTATCATTTAAAAGATATAACACCTTATTTTTTCGAAATTAAGCCTCCTTTTTGCACACGTCATTCTGGTTATAATAACACCCGTCATAAATACGCTAAAGATAGTCGTTAAATTTGCTTGCATGCGATCACGAAAGTCGACGCAAGTGACGCCAGTCACGCAAGTCAAGTTATGCCTGGAAGTATTTCTTTTTTCAACACGAGCTGTAATGTTCCACATTAATGTATTCTCGAGTCAGATTCACCACTTTTTTTCGGTAAGCCATTTCTCCGTGACACTGCAGTTCCTCCAGCTGTTCTACGTGGTCTACTCTTTCGTATTCATGGTCCTATGCTTCCCGAAAGACGTGTGGTACAGAGCCAGTCGTCATGGCGACAGCGTCGTATGTGGCGGTGCTCCTGCGTCGCCGATCCCTGGCCTACGTGACCGGCTCGGTGATTGCGGCCCTGACGACACTGCCCGTACCTTTCGTTCCTCGATTTGAGGTAAGTCTGAGGATGCGCACCCAAAGTAAATATAATAAGCCGACCTCCTTAAGTGAATCCTTATGCGATAACCCTTGAGCGAAACACGTCAGGCACAGAAAGTGCAACAGAAATTCTATGTGACCTCCTTTTGTGGGTAGGCCTTTGTTACTTGCAGTGGTCGAGTTGGAGCAAGCAAATTAGGGTTAGCAATCACGACTGACAGATTATGTCGTAATTTTGTTTTTTGGCATATTTTGGCGAGAAGAAAAGACTAGAGACTTCGGGGATTATATGGGCTGTCAACAGCATGCAGCAAAACTAAATGTGAAAAGGTTAACTAGTTCATCAGTAAAAAAAAAACAAAACAATTTTAGCCCCTTGATCGTTATTTGCTCGCCAGAAAAGAAGGCAGCGGCTCTTCCGCGCGTGAAGCACGAGACGATCCACACAGAACTGGATCCTGCACGGCACAGAAGTGACATCACCTTATCTTAAAGAGCCGAAAATAACTCGACTAAGTGCATTATTGCTTTCATGATACAGCGTTAAACCAACAAAACTAGTAAACAAAGAGTGTTTGCAAAGTTAGCTCATCTACATTAGTCAATGCACACTAACGTGTCTTAGTTAATTATTCACGTAATACAAGTGCCTCAAGTCCATGAGGTGCTGCGAAAGTACTAGTGCCAAAGGGGGCAGTGCGAGATAATACATGCGTGGCATAATTCTTCACTGTGATGTGCGGATTATGGTCGGAAGTAGAGCGTTTTCTAGACTGCAATGTGAAAACGTAGTGTTTTTGAAGGTGAGAGCGTCTTTGCTCCCGAGTACCTAATTTTGCTTGTCGCAAAGTGTACACAAAATGTTGACGAAAAAATAAGTGTTTTTAAACAGTTCGTATGAACGTCCGGGCGCAGAATAAATCACAGTGTGGCTATGAAGTGTTTTTACTAAGTTTGTGATCTCCGATGGCCAACGTTTTTCGCAACGTGCGAAAACACATGGGCCGTTCTCATCCGTTGTTAGATAACTCCTGCTGCGCTGTCACAAGACATGCTAATCAGCAAGGCAGACAAACTGTTCGGTGGTGTTTTATGGGTAGGTGGCCTAACACATTCGACAGTTGCCATTGAGCATCGTTTGTGAAGTGCTGATCGCTGTACCGTCATGACTACACGTCAGTATTTGAAGGAACTTAGTCTGCCGCCATCACGTTAACTTCTTTACGTTATCACGTTACCGGATACCGCATAAAATCTGCGCTTGCGCAGGTCTTTATGGGACGTAAACTTTTACGTAACGTAAAATACCCGCTGGATAGGCCTTTCATTTGCGGCCCTATCTCGCAAATCTACCTTCATTCGTAGGTACTCGCAGTATCCGCATGTGGAGAATCGAGCCGTTGAGTCAAAATAAATCGAAGTGCGAACGCCATTAGCGATTACATTGTTTCAGCCGGATTACCAAAGCTATAATGGCTAGAACATCGATGCCGTAAACGTGCGAGCCCCACGATGGATGGATAGATGGATGGATATGGATGTACCCTTTAGATCGGGTGGTGGCTAGCGCCACCAAGGTGTAATACTTAATGAACTCAAAACTATATTTATTTATTTTTTCCTTAAAAAGTGACTTTGAGGATTCGTAATTTGCAGTGAAGAGTTTAATTTTCACTCGTGCCTTGACTTTAGCCACCAATCAGATAACCTCCTTCTAGTTAAGTCTACTTGCTTAAAGTCTATTTTGCCCTCCCGGTCCCTAAACCCCAGTGCTTTGAAAAACTCTGCGCCATCATCCTGAACTATAGGGTGAAGCCCTTTACAGAACATTATCAAGTGTTCGGCAGTTTCTTCTTCCTCTCCACATGCACTGCATACTGTGTCTACCCCTTCGTATTTGGCCCGATATGTCTTGGTTCGTAGTACTCCCGTCCTTGCCTCAAACAGTAGAGAAATACCCTGAGTATTATCATAGATCCTATCCTTGGCAATTTCCTGCTTAAAAGTTCGATAGATCTCTAGTGCGGACTTCTTAATCATGCCCATTTTCCACTAGTCAGTCTCCGTTTCCTTCACTTTCTTCTTAACCGATAGTTCTTTTTGGTTTGGCCACCTGCTGTTTTCTAAGTATTTACCAGTCAACTTCCTGGTTCGCTTCCTCCATTTCGTATCGACATTTTTTATGTACAAGTAGCTGAAAACCTTCCTAGGCCAACGCTCCTCCTTCATTTCTCTCAATCGCTTCTCAAATTTTATTTTGCTGCTAGCTTCCCTGCCCTCAAATGATGTCCATCCCATATCACCTTGTACTCCCTGATTTGGTGTATGCCCGTGAGCTCCTAAAGCAAGCCTACCTATTCCACGTTGCTTAATTTCTAGGCTGGATCAGCGGCGCGAGGCTGGATCAGCGACGTCATCTAGCGGGGTTTTAATGAACTAGGTAATAACGAAATTGTTATTGCATGAACATCGTGCACGGTACGTGTGGTGTAAAAATCGTGCATTGGCGTTATTAAAAATGAGTTACCTTTCAAATTATTTTCACCTCCAAAACATTACACGTAAGCCAGTGGGTTCGGGACTGTGGTTGCACAAAGTGTCACAACATGTCGACTCGAACAATAGAGTAACCTTGTAATTTTTTTCACTGCTTTACACATACGAGGATAGACGTGAGGCTTTGCCCAGGTGGCGCTGCGAAAAAGGCCGCCACTCACGGAGGAAGGAAAGGTAAGGAGAGGCCCTGACGTCACTCGTTGTGAAGCCGGAATGAAGCCAGAAGTCGGTCATATTGACTAGGCAAATTCTCCTCGCTTGTTTACATCCGAATGTAAAGCAGAAGGCACGACTCTCTCTCCGGCTCGGAAAGCACGTGGGCAGCGCATCGCGCGTGTCGTGACGATCCGAAACTAATGGAACGGGGCTTAACACTCTGGGCCAGCGGGACACCTTCAGCGAAATCGCTTCGTCCGAGTAATAACAGGGAGTAACAGCTCACCGACAACGAAGCAACTACGAGAGAACGCGCGCTAGATGCAGTGACAACGGCGAGTGCTTTCACGTCATTAATTCAGCAACTGTACAGACAACACGATCGGTCGTGCGCCTTTTACGGTTGCATTCCGCCACGCGGCCGATGCAGCGTCTTGCCACTGTGTCCGTGTTCCGCGTGAAACTCACCGGCGTCAGCATTCTGCAACCGTGGTGACTTTGAGCACGGTGCTAGTGACAGTTGAATGCGGTTGCTGTTACGTAGAGACTACATGCAATGCTGGTGTAGAGTGTACCAAGCAGAACAGAAAATGTGTTTTAATACGCACATGCAAGTTGTTACTGCACACACACAACACGAAACTACGTATGTGCACATGGTCCTCATGGCGTCTTGCTGGGCCCAACAGCACCGTCCATTGTCACAAGCAGGAGCACTGCTCAACCGTCACTGACCTGCAAGGCGTTCGTCGTCATTCAGCTTCGTCATGGTGCCCAACGCAATTTCGCTGAACACTAACTGCTTGATCCGCGTCATCCGCCGCACGACACATGAATATGCACTGTGAGGGCTGGGCGGGCTAGGCATGAAGGCTGAGAGGCGTTGTGAACGAGAAGAATGCGCTTTATTCGAACATGAAAACGTGCCGACGCGCCGGAGGCGGGAGCGAGATTGATAAAAACGTGTCCCCGGCCCTCGCTTGGGCTTGGAGTTTATCTGAGTAAAGGCGCCGCAGGTGGCGCTGCCGATTAGATAGGCCGCTACGCTATAGTGCGCATGCGGGCGCTCACATCCGGCCCCTCCTTGTCTGACCAAGTCCCATTGGTCTAGGAAAGGAGCACTACTTGGTGGCTTCACTGCGAGAGAGAATAGTCCTTCAAGCGCTCGGGTGGGCGCTTTTGGCGGTGAGGTCGCGAGGAGGGTACCGCTGGAGGCAAAACTGCAGGGCCAAGGGAAACTGGTGTATGAGATAACTCATTGCCAACACTGGGAGAGCCAGATAAGTCACACAAAGGCCACTCTTGGGTTTTCACAATGTAAGGCTCGACATAAGGTGGCACGTAGTGCTTGAGTTGAGAGACGTGCACTATCCTGTCTTGGAGTCGATCACGAGGACCTTGACCGGTTACGCGGCTAACGACAAACGTAACGGGTGTTTTCTGGTTGGTGATTTGGTATATTCCCTTGAATTTGGGTGCCAACTTTCCAGTTCCATCTGCTACAGGCTCTTGGCGGCGCACCCAGACGAACTGGCCGACTTGGAAGGAGTGGTCTCGATGGGACTGATCATATGCTGTCTTCCGTTTCCCTTGTGCTTCCTCGGTATTACTTGCTGCTACGGCCCGGTTCTGAGACAGCATTAGGAGACGGTCTTGTAGGGTCCTGGCTGTGGCGGGACGGTGGCGTTGATATGGGAGCTTGGGGACGTATCCATACAGTAGTTCAAATGGAGAGAAACAGCTGCTGGCGCTATAGCTTGTGTTGATGGCAAAAGCAGCTTCTTCGAGTTTGCTTGCCCAGGAGGTCTGGTCCGTTGGACACAGCTTACGAAGAACGGAGACTAAAGTCCCATTGCTTCTCTCTACAAGACCATTGCTGGCTGCGCGGTATGCCACTGAATAATGAATCTCAGCACCGTGCATGTGCATGAAGTGCTTAAACTGGTGAGATTCAAAGGCTGCTCCATGGTCAGACATGCAGTCATCAGGACAACCAAAGCGGAAGAACACCGACTGTAAATGTGCTATAACTTCCTTAGCTGATGTTGAAGTTACAGCCGCTGGGACAATGAAACGCGTGGCAAAGTCAATGACATTCAAAATGTACTTCTTTCCTGAAGCAGCCGGCATTGTGATGTGATCAATGGCAATTAAGGCAAAAGGAACATCCGACACTGGCATGAGACCCATTTTGCCAACACTTTTAGATATTGGGCGGTTGTTGCTTTGGCAGATCTGGCATGCTGTGACGTAGTGGGTCACTGAAGACGTAAGGTTTGGCCACCAGTAACGTTCTCTCACTTT